TTTAGTCACTTTATTACTTGACGACCGCGTATACTTGCGTGAGTGTGTTTGGTCGCAACAGGTCATGAAAAAAGGCAGCTTGGAAATTATCTATCAATTCTGTCATCACATCATGCAGTCTTGTTGTGAGCGCTTTTGAAATTATCTTGCAAAGTACTGTACATCATGAAATTAGCCTGAATTCCTTAATGTTTGTTGGATTCTGAACCTTTGGTATCAAGGTAATGGTTGTGCAGTTGATGGCTTTGCACATATCTGCATTTTCAAAGAACTGTATAACTACTACAATCACTTCCTCACCTAGTATGTGCTATGTTTTCTTAAAGAAGAAAGAGTTGTATCCATCTCACCATGGTGCCTTGTTGTCATCAATGTCTATTATAGCTTGTTTCACTTCCTCTCTGGTAACTAGTCTTATAAGCTGCAATTATTGCCTCCTATTTAATATATGGCCATTCTGCATGATCTCTGGGCTAACAACTGGTAGTTGTGTTGCTGCAGTACCAAGCAGACCCATATAGAAGCTTAGAATTTTTTCCTCCACTTCAGTTGGATTTTGTAGGATTTGCCCAGTGCTAGTGATTAATCTGCTAATACTATTCCTTACTTGTCTGTTTTTCATGAAAACATGGTAGTATGCTGTATTGGAATCTCCAAGTTTAAGCCCTTGTATTCTAGATTTTTATTTCAGAACATTTTCCTCAACCATCAACCATTTCTCCAATTCTAACTTTGTAGCTTTTTCAAGGGCTACTCTCTCAGCATCTTGACCTGGGATATTCATTTGGTCTTTTATACATTTTAACCTCCCTTTTGTTGCTTGTATCTTGCTCTCTATTCCACTAAACTCTTGTTTGTTCAGTTCTTTCAGGGCCCCTTTCAGTGTTTTGAGCTTGTTCCACATAGATAGCATGGCAGATCCTCTTTTGCTGCTCCTCCAGATTTGCTTTACAGTTGCATCAAACTCACTTAGGCTTGCGAAGCATATGAGAAATTTGAAAGGTCTCATGCCTGCTTGGTTAGTGATGTCAAACCCCAAACTGAGAGGACAATGATCAGAAAAACCTGGATTCATAACGATTCCCTCCATGTGAGACCATTGTTGTATCCATTCTGCATTTGCCAGGATTCCACCAATCCTACTATGGACATGGATATTAGACCATATGTATTGCCTTCCCACAGTTTTCAGCTCATCTAATCCTGCATCCATTAGGAAATTCTTGAAATCCCTTATCTCAATCTCTTGGACAGGGTTACCATTAATCCTATTTTCACTAGTCAGGATAGTATTGAAGTCACCCATTATGAGGCAAGGACTATTTAATCCATGCATTGTCACCTTTAATTCCTCCCATAAGCTTTTGCTATCTTGAATTGTGTGTTTATCATAGACTGCACAGTAATTAAAACTGGTTCTATGCTGAATCATAGTTACCTTTCCCATTATAAATTACTCATAAGTTCTGGTCATCAAATAATCCAACTGAGTTGGATCCCATGCTACCCATATTCTACCACCTGGAGCTTCATTGTAGTTGTCAACCCATTTGCAGTTGTTAAATGTCTTCTTTAGTATTGAATCTACACTGCTTCTCTTCACTCTATGTTCTATAATGGCCACAAGTACCACTTTATTTGTTCTACAAAAAATTTTTAGTTCTTTTTGCTTATATACTTTATTCAACCCCCTAACATTCCATGCTATAATGTTCATCATGATATGAATATTTGTTGAGGAACTCCTTCTTTATCCTTCTTATTCTGCTTCTCCCTCATATCTTGGGCTTCAGATAGTTGAACTATCTTCTGTGCTGTATCAACTAGTGCTTTGAAAGCATTGCCAATGTTCACTTCATTCTACTTTGTAACTTCTGCATTCCTCTTTGTAGCAGATTTTCCTCGAGCAATTTGCCACTGTGGTTCAGCTTCCTGCTGATATAGCTGTACATTTTTTGTTGCCTCCAACTGATCAAAGAATCTACCTTGAGCATCAATTTTATCTACAATAAGCTTAAGAGTTCTGACATTTTTCCACTCCTGCTTCTGCTTTATTTTCATACTTTTCAGTACCACTCCTTCCTATTTCTGCTTCTTTTGATCCCTGCATGACTGGCCTAATTGGCAGCATGTTTGGCAGTACTGTGGTTTCCAATCAAATTGAACCATATGTTCAATCACCTTGCCTCTAGGATCATACAATTTAATCTTCTCTGGCAGTGGTCTTGTGACATCCATTTCAATCAGGACCCTAGCTTATGAGACTCTTTCAGCCACTGTGGTATAAGCATCATCATATATTGGCTTTCCCAAACCACTTCCAATTTTACTTAGGGCCTATTTGCTCCACTAGTTGAGTGGAAGTTTTGGGAATTTGACCCATATGGGAATGGTTTTCAGCACTTCTTCATTGAAATCAAAGTTTTCCGACCATGGTCTAATTATAATTGGCCTACTATTAATTGTATACGGCCCATTCAGCATCACATCCTCCCGCTCTTCACTGTTATTTAGCAGTACTATGAAATACCCATCATTATGAAAGAGTACCTTAGGTTTATGAACATTAATCCATTGATTAGCTCTGAATCTCGCAATAACACAATTCATGGTGTATTCCCTACCACGTAGAGTATAACTGCTCGGTTCCACTTTTGGTTCTCTTCTTCGATGTCCTCTTCCATCAATTGTACCACTACTTCACCAACTTTCATCACTGGGGGTATGTAGGTTAGATTCATACCTTTTGCTGCCAATTTGTTCTACTGTAATAGCCCTGCCCATAATCTTCTCGTCTCCACAGTTGGTTCTATTTTTTTCTATTGGATTTTCTTCTGGTTATCGAGCTCTGTATTTCTCTATTCCTTAGGTAGGCTTGTAGGTACTTTTCCATTGATCTGCGCTTTACTCGAGCTTGGCTGCTTACTTGTAATCAGTGCTTTAGAAATTCCTTTCCCAGAGTTCACCACAGGTGTCAATTGATTGCTAGAACTCATCGGCGTTACCATTTTGACTCAATTATTGCCCATTTTGACTCGATCACTGCCTAGATATGGCCAATTTGGGTCGCTATAGCTGTCTTGGTCCAGATCTTCCTCTTGCATTTTCTCTTTTGCTTTAGTAGTTCATTTTCCTTGCTCGCGTTTGATGATCTCCGTTAATTTCCTTTCTACGACTGGCGTTTTACTGGTGTTCTTCTTCGCTCTTCCTCTTCCCCCCATTTCCAGCGATGGTGTAGGTTAGTTATTCACCTAACGTGCGCCGAGAGAGAGAAGCTTTATTTTGAACAATTTGAAAAATTTTATATTTACCTTTTTCATTATCTCTTTTACTATTCTTATTCTCAATATTAAAAAGTCTCTCAATTGGCAACTTACCGCAGCTTACAAGTTGTCTTTTTCAAAGCATTACAACAAGCAATCATTATGTTGAAGCAATATAACACTTTTCGATATCATTATATCAACTTATCTTGCTCTATAGTTTCTTACCCGTTGATTTCAGCTACTATCTATTGTTTCTTGTACCTTCGATTATCTTATTTATCCGTGATAGCTTGCTCCTTATTAGACTGCTTTATCATGACTTATTCGCTTTCATTACTTTCATTTTCATATCGCATTGAATTGATTGTCCTCGTCTCACTTTTTCTTTGTCATGCTTTCTCTTGAGCTGAGGGACTTTCAGAAACAACCTCACTACCTCCCAAGGTAGAGATAAGGTCTACGTATACTCTACCTCCCCAGACTCCACTTGTGAGTTGTCACATGGTATGTTGCTGTTGTATAGTTAACTTATCAAATTCTTGTGCCGATTTTATGATTTTATACTTTTCGTTGTGTTACGACCCGAAATTCGCACCTTCAGGATCGTGATGGCACCTAATATTTCACTTGCTATACAAGTGAACGTTAAAATAATTTTAGCATTTTAACAATTCAATTTAATTAATAATAAAGAAACCAAATAACTGGAATAAAATCTGAAATAAAGTCAATAAACAAAAATAATAGCGATGTCTAAATACCATCCCAGACCTGGTGTCACAAGTGCACGAGTTACTTGTCACGACCCAAATTAACCCTCCGTAAGGTGTCGTGATGGCACCTAGTCTTTACGACTAGGTAATCCTAACATATGCGGAAAATATAAAGAAAACGCAACATTTGTTTTTAAAGATAAACAGTATATTTTAAATAGCCAAGAGTACTACCACTCGGCATACACAAAATAATTTTCCAAGACCCGGAATATCACTAAGTCACAAGCTGCTATAATCTATGTAGCTCTGTACAAAAGTCTGAAGATAATAAGTAAAATCTCTAGACGAGGGAGTAGAAGGGGACTCCGAAGATCTGCGGACGCAAGCAGAGGTACCTTGAAGTCTCCTAGAATCAGCAGCACGTACTAATCCCGAGGCTAATAGCTCGCACTTGGATCTGCACACGAAAAACAAGTGCAGGGAAGGGCATGAGTACACCACAATGGTACCCAGTAAGTTCCAAGCCTAACCTCGGTCGAGTAGTGACGAGGTCAGGTCAAGGCCCTACCAGAGTAAATATAATAAATTAAATAGTAAAAGATATAAGTAGAATTTACGGTAACACAGTTAAAGAAATTCTCGAAAATTTAATAGTTAAGGGAGCCCTCGGCTCAAAACAAGGTAAACACAGTGGGAAATCTCTCGGGATACCGTCCCATAGTTTCAAATGAATATGCAGTACAGGGGGATCTCCCGGATTACGTTTGTAGTCCCAAAGTAAATATGCAGTACTGGGGGATCTCCCGGAATACGTCCGTAGTCCTAAAGTAATTATGCAGTACAGGGGGATCTCCCAGAATACGTTCGTAGTCCCAAAGTAAATATGCAGTACATGAGGATCTCCCGGAATACGTCTGTAGTCCCAATTTAAATATGTAGTACAGGGGGATCTCCCGGAATACGTCCATAGTCCCAATTTAAATATGCAGTACAGGGGAATCTCCCGGAATACGTCCATAGTCCCGATTTAAATATGCAATGCAAGATGAAATGGTGGGTATGGCATCGAGTTATACAGTTTATACTGGACACAGATAAGGAAAATAAGGACTTAACTAAACATGACGCACAGAATGTCAATTAGGCAGTTAAACACGTAAGCATGCTTTTCTAGCTAAACTACACAATTAAACATATTAGTACAATTAATAAGAGAAGCAATTTATGATTTAAAAAGGTTAAACATGATTTTTGCAATAATAGACCATGTACGTACTTGTCACCTCACGTACACGGCGCCCACACACCAAATAATACAAGATATCTTAAGGGGAAAGTCCCCAACAGAAGGTTAGGCAAGCCATTTACCTCGAACCGCTCAAATCAACTTGATATCACGTTCTTGCCACGAGTATCCGACTCCAAATGGCTCGAATCTATTCAAAACAGTACAATACCATCAATACGCGCTAATGGAATGAATCCCACAAGAAAAACTACAAAATTAGGCCAAAACCCGAAATTGGCTCAAACCCGGCCCCCGGGGCCCACGTTTCGAAACCCAACAAAATTCATGAAACTAGAAAGCTCATTCACTCACGAGTCTAACCATATTAAATTTACTAAAATCCGATACCAAATGGTCCTCCAATCCACAATTCAAACTCCCAAATCCCTAGTCTCCAACTTCAAATTTCCACCTTAAATACACATTAACTAGGTGGGAAAATACATGGCAAGGCAAGATTATTAACCAAAAATAAGCACAAGGAACTTACCTCAAGAAATGCCTCGAAAATGCTCTCAAAAATCGCCCCAACCCGAGTTTGCAAAGCCAAAAATGATAAAAATCGTGAAGCCCTTCGGTATTAATCACTGCCCAGGTATTTCCGCACCTGCGGAACCTGGTCTCATACCTGCGGGTGAGCTTATGCGGAAAAACGTGTGCATCTGTGCAACTCACTTACCCCCTCTGCCTTCACACCTGCAACGAAAGGGCCGCATCTGCGCCCTCACGCATGCGGAGTCCCTTCCGCTTCTGCGCATATTGCACATTGCGAACATCCTTGCACATTTGCGGGCATCGCAGATGCGGAAATTTCCTCGCACCTGCGATCCCAGGCCAACTCTCGATTTATCGCATCTGCGCTTCCATCTCCGCATGTGCGGCTCGCGCACCCGCGGTCTCTTTTACGCAAGTGCGAAAACACCAGAGCCAGCAAAGTTCAGAAATTCCTCTAAGTCCAAGTTTTCACCCATTAAGCATCTGAAACACACCCGACGCCCCCGGGACCTTAACCAAATATACCAACCAATCCTAAAAC